ATATTCACTAACCACGAACAGGAAATAGAACATACTTGCAGTATTTTTATTTGTTAATGTACCAAGTAAAATATTACTAAAAATGTTTTTGTAATGGCTTACACTACTGCGTTACAGGAAAAAGTAATATGTTGCTGTAATACATTACTTTTGAAACACATTACTCTCAACACTGATAGTTACAACTGAATTAGTTACAAAATAACTGTATAGAATGATTAAACATAAAATGAAAAAAAAAAACAAATGATAATAATTGTACCCAGCTTGTACCCAAAATGTAAAATAAAGTTACCTGAGGGAGAAAGAGAGCGGGAAAGAGACAGAGGGAGGTGTGACCAAAGCCCAAATACTGAGACATACAAAATAAAAAATCAACATGTGGTAAAATATCCAAAGTCCACACACATATCTTTCTTATAACCATTCCCTGATCTTATCAGTGTCTGTCTTTGGAATCTGTATGGACCTTTTTTGGTAAAAAAGACATGAATTGCCATATAAACAAATTCAAATGATAATTTTCACTCTTAAGCAGGTCGCACACCAGAAGCGCTGCTCGGCGGCGTGCTGCGCAGCGCCACGCAGCGCCATGTATTATAGAATTCTAAACATAGGTTTCTATCAGTATACACACACCGGCGCCGCAAGTCGGCGGCGCCCGGCGACGGCTCAGGACGCAGTTAATTTTTCAGCCGCGCCACAGAGCGCCATCTGATTAGTTTCATGTTAAATATCATTCGAATGTGCGCGTCTGGTGTGTGATACTTTAAACTGTCATGTACGCGGCGCTTCTGGTGTGCAACCTGCTTTACAGTCATTTTGACTTTATTTATTTATTAATTAATTTATTTATTTTATTTTTTATTTATTTTATTTTTTTTTTGAGAAATTATTTTTATTGTTAAAATTCTTGCTGAACTGAAGAGAAATTCCAGCTGCAAAGCAACCAATTGAGATTCCCTGCACTGTATACTTGTGCATTGTGTTTGTGTTTGTGGACAACCAGACTTTTTGGTGGAACAGTATTAACTATGGTCTTTGTAAAGTTGCTAAATTCTATGCATCAGAGATTTGGAATGACTAACATCTTTTAACAGAAAGGTCTATCCCTTTGGTCTTCATCTGGACAACCTGTTGTCAGAAGGTTAACATCAATGACTGTAAAAAATATGGACGACGCGACAGCCCCTTTTCCCATTGAACGCCTTGAGGGCAAAACGCCTGCTTGACGGGCACAAACTGTCGCAAAAGACTGCTGAAATTGGAGCCTTGACATGCGCAGAAGGACTGTCTGATGGAGCCAGAGGAGGAGCCGCGAAAATGAGTCAAGCTTCCAACCAAACGTTTTATGTAAAATCAACCACGCCCCCCGAACTTCTCACTCGACTGCAGGTGTCTGCACTATAACAAACGCTCACTGATGTAAATAGAAGCACTTACATAAAAAAAAACACAATAATATACGGTTTAAAAACGGTGTGATGTAAGCTGTTAAACTTTAATAAAAGCAATACATGGTGGACTGCAGAAATAAACGATCTTTTATACACTCTAGCCTGAATATGAGCACAAATAATATATTCTCTTATTGTTATATTTGTTTTTGGTATTTGTTATCTTCATAGGGGTAGAAATAACACTTGTAAAATATGAACAATAACATATAAACAACACGTACATTTTTAGAAAGGTTTTTATTTTTAATTAGCCATCAACAGAACCCAAAATATAGCCTACACACCATAACGATTTACCATGCGGGAACAATCGTGCGTTTAGAAGATAAATACAGCAAGATTACTAAATATCAACAGGATATTTACACATCCCAACCCTGCAATTTGTCAATTTGTGCAAAAAAACTTTGCACTATTAATACATAGTCTATCTGCTGCAACATCACTAGTATATTGTTTATTCATTTTCGCTTGAATTGTTTATTTATTTAATTTTTTTGCCTCCGTTTTCATTTGGTTTATTCGATGCCTTCATTATATCTGGCAACGAGGAATTTACATTCATTTTAATGTTAGCTGGAGTGTTCAAATAAAACGCCAACAGTAAATGATGTAAATAAATAATATCTAACATTTACAGCTCTATTAGGTTATATAAGATTCGATTTCAAGAACCTTATAATGATTTATAACAGCAAATTCAGTAGATTACTTAATAACATGCCAAAACTTAAAATGCAGAGACGTCCTGTAAAGCAAGTTCAAATAACCTTACAGGAGATCAACGTGGAGATTATTATTTAGACATAAAGAGAATTACTGCTAACGATCTCCTGTATTTTCCCGTACTTAAATGGGTTTATTTTATTGTGCAGTTTTATTGTCATTTTCGTATTTCTTAATTCTTGTGCACTACAAAATGTATTCAATTGTATTATTATTTAATACTTGTGCAATCGATACAGGTTTATTGTTATTTATTTTGTCCTTTATTTAAATAATTGCTATGTATGCTGTTTGCATCTTTATTCAAAGGTTAAACTCAGTGATACACTTTATGTTCACATAGTAGCATGCGTTTGTTGTCATATCAACAAAAATGGTTGTAATAACGTTAACAAATGTGAGGGTTTTATATAATGAAGATTCAATTGCGCCAGCTCCGGGCAGAAGCGCACATAACCTACTCGCGGCGTCGCGGGCTGATTCCGGCTCGCATGCGGCATCGCCTGCTCGCTCGGCCGCCGCATCTGGCTCAATTGACTCGGGCTGGAATCAATCAACTGGGCTGTCAGTGAGTCCAGGCATCCGGAGTAGGTCCAGCAGAGGTAGTCAGTCTGAGGGGTAAGTCTCCGGCAGGCAAGAACTGCCCCCTGTGTATTTTGCTATCTGGGTGGCTAGGCGTGTATTAGCAAACTAATAAAGCCCGAAAAAAGCTCTGACCTTAGCGAATAAACCGTGTTCCACCAGATCATGTATGTCAGAAACTGTAGTTTACTGCTGAACTCATTTTGTCATGGTAAAATATCACAGAAATCGAGTAATAACACTTCAGTCTTCTGCCGAAGCTCAGACGCGCTGCTTTGAGAAACTGTCAATCGCCGCTGTCAATCACGATGACATGCCCAGCATTAAATTACTGCTAAAAACAAACTGTTTACAAAAATGAGGATCTGCACCTATTTCAGCACAATAAACAGTGCCTTAATCCACCAGAACCATCTTTCAGGACATTTTATTGCAAGTGTAATTAATTTTTTTATTTGGGCTCAAGTCTCCTTCATTAACACGGAGGAGGCGGGCTTTATGACTTGTACTGCAGCCAGCCCCCAGGGGGCGATCTAACGGCCGAGACCTTCACTGAAACATAGGGTTGCGGCACACTTGGTTAACATACTACACATTCAGTCAAATCTAAAATTATTAAATCTCCTTCAATATTTCATGCTTTAAAACACATTAAAATTAATCTTTTTCATGTTTAAAATTATTTTTGTTAGATTTTGACAAAAACCTGCATTGTTGCAGCATGATAACAGCATAAACAACAACAACGATCACCTCAGGTTCAGTTTATGTGCTTTATTTACTGTTAAATGCCACTAATATGAGCTTGAATACCGTTTTACATGGCATGTGTTACCATACTGAAAACTGCAGAAGATATTTAACCTCAGACTTGGAAAACAAATTAACCTGCAAATGGTTTAAAAACATCTGACTCATGACTGTGCAAACCAAAAACAAATGTCACTCGGTGGCCTATGTGCTTTTAATAATGTTAAGTATGTTTAATATGTATTAATTAGATTATAAACCTTAGCATTTCATTACGTGTGCAGTGACTGGTATTAAAGTGAATGGCTGGTTTTTAAATGTATTTATTTATTTATTTATTAATGTGTTTATAATGGATTTATGTGTGTTGTGTTTGGTGCGTTTAGCCATGTTGCTTCGTCACTTTCATATAGTTTGACACAAATGTGTAAGTCGAAATGTCCAAGGTAAAAATAATATTTTTCCACTAAGATTTGCCATGACACATATATAACACTTGTTACGATAACCAGCGGTCGTTCTCCGGACATCGCTGGTTTCCACTATCATCATGAACTTCACTTCTGCATTTCCCAGGACTACATATTTATACATGCACTTCTTCCAAACACACATGCCTGCTCATTCATCTCGCTTGATTACAATCACTAGCTGAACCTTATCAAAGACTGATAACACACCATACTTAAGCCACTCATGAACCTATCCAGTTTGCCGAGTCTTGTTATCTGTTACAGTGATATTACAACGTGTTTCCTTTGTCTGCCTTTGCTGTGTTTTGATCCTTGCCTTGTTTATTTATTTAATTCTGTTTGCTGCCTGCCTCTGACCATCTGCCTGTTGTTTTGACTTCGACTCTGGATTGCCCTCATACATCTGTTTGCCGGTATTGACCACTGCTTGCCTGACTATTCTGAATAAACCTGCATTTGGATCCTACCTTCTGTTGTCAGTGTCACTTCCCGTCGTTACAGAAGACTCGGCCACACAATGGATCCAGCGGGGATAAAAATCATGTGCCTGCGTCAGGGCGCACGGTCTATAGAACAATATGTGGAGGACTTTATCAATCTGGCTCATTTAACCACGTTGGATGAGGTATGCTTGATGATATTTTTTCATAGTGGACAATCTGAACCATTGTACTCCCATCATGCCTTTGCATGAACCCCATGGGACTTTAGACAATTATATCGAGCTTGCACTGCAATTGAGTGGGTCCCCCTTCACTGTAGAAGAGGCGGAGGAAACCCCTAAATATTTTTTTGGGGGGGGCAAAGGACAGTTGGCAATGGGGCTTGCTGCTCATTCCACCACCACAAATCCAGCTCACAAGATGGTCACTTCCAGTGTGCCAGCTCACAAGATGGCTTCCTGTCCTGAATCTGTTCCTATCCCTGAAAGGCCATCTCCAGAGCTGCCAGACCCTCCAGTGCTGCCAAACCCTCCAGTGCTGCCAGACCCTCCAGTGCTGCCAGACCCTCAAGAGCTGCCAGTCCCTCCAGTGTTGCCAGATCCTCTAGTGTTGCCAGATCCTCCAGAGCTGCCAGACCCTCCAGTGCTGCCAGATTCTCTAGAGCTGCCAGAGTCACTGCTACTGCCAGAGCTGCCACCGCAAGAGCTGCCAGCGCAGCAGCCAGAGTACGCCGCAGCCAGCGCCGCAGCTAGAGTCGACGTCGCAGCCAGCGCCGCTGCCAGAGTCGACGCCGCTGCCAGGGCCGCCACCGCCTGAGCTTCCCGAGTGGCTGCTGCTGCCTGAGCTTCCCGAGTGGCAGCCGCCGCCTGAGCTTCTTGAATGGCCGCCGCCTGAGCTTCCTGAATGGCCGCCACCGCCTGAGCTTCCTGAATGGCCGTCGCTGCCACCTGAGCTTCCTGAATGGCCGTCGCCACCACCTGAACTTCCTGAATGGCCGTCGCCGCCATCTGAGCTTCCTGAATGGCCGTCGCCCCCACCTGAGCTTCCTGAATGGCCGTCGCCGCCACCTGAGCTTCCTGAATGGTCGTCGCTGCCACCTGACCTTCCGGAATGGCCGTCGCCGCCACCTGAGCTTCCCAAGTGGCCGCCGCCACCTGAACTCCCTGAATGGCTGCCGCCTGCTGAACTTCCTGAATGGCCGCCACCTAAGCTTCCTCAATGGTCGCAGCCTCATGATCCAGGGCCACTGCAGCTCCACGCTCCAGGCCCTCTGCAACTCCACTCTCCCGGCCCTCCGCAACTCCACTCTCCGGGTCTTCCGCAGCTCCACGCTCCAGGCCCTCCGCAGCTCCACTCTCCGGGTCCACTGCAACTCAACTCTCCGGGTCCTCCGCAACTCCACGCTCCAGGCCTTCTGCAGCTCCACGCTCCAGGCCCGCCTCAGCTTCACGCCCCAGGTACGCTCCACCTGCATGGTCCTGGCCCTCCATCCCTCCCCCTGGTCCTGCCTCCGCTCCACCTCCTGCCTGAACTGTATTTGGAGCGTCTGAAAGTCGCTCTTTAGAGGGTGGGCTATGTTACGATAACCAGCGATTGTTCTCCGGAGATCGCTGGTTTCCACTATCATCATGAACTTCACTTCCGCATTTCCCAGGACTACAAATTCATACATGCACTTCTTCCAAACACTTACGCCTGCTCATTCATCTCACTTCATTACAATCACCAGCTGAACCTGGTCAAAGACTGATAACACACCATACTTAAGCCACTCATGAACCCATCCAGTTTGCCGAGTCTTTTTATCTGTCACAGTGACATTACAACGCGTTTCCTTTGTCTGCCTTTGCCGTGTTTTGATCCTTGCCTTGCCTTGTTTATTTATTTAATTCTGTTTGCTGCCTGCCTCTGACCATCTGCCTGTTGTTTTGACTTCGACTCTGGATTGCCCTCATACATCTGTTTGCCGGTATTGACCACTGCTTGCCTGACTATTCTGAATAAACCTGCATTTGGATCCTACCTTCTGTTGTCAGTGTCACTCCCTGTTGTTACAACAGTAGATAACTAACAAGTTAACTCTATCAAACAAGTTTACTTTTCTCTCAGAATCTCTTTGAAAAAAAAGAAAAGAATGTTCACACCTTCATAAATATAGCCACACTCATACACTCAATCCCCCTCACAGTGTGGGAATGCAGTTTCTTCACATCACGTCGTGTGATTTCGACTTTGTTGCTTAGCCAGACACAAGTGACAGCCAGCTTCCCCAACAAACCAATTACCAGTGTTAGAGTCCTCTAGAATGCACTTCCTTTCTCTGCAGTGAAATAACGAACGCTCTGACATTCCAGATGTGTTAAGCTGTATAATGGGGGACTCTACAAGTGGTGACTGAAATTCAGCCGTCATGGATCCACCAAAACCCCTCAGACAGGGATAACGCTTTAAAAAGAAGGACTGGCAAACTAATGAACACTGACAGCACCCCCCCAAGCTGTTTGCATTCCTGTCAAAATGCTAAGCAGTAAATAGATGGTGGAGTCACATATGCTTTTATCTCTACCGGCATGACGGAGGTTAAGAATGAAGCTGGGGACTCCCTCACAGAATCAGTTATTGTTTAATATCATAAGCCTTTCATTTCATTCCCTCTGATGTTTTTTGTTCAATCATATCTTAATAATAAGGTAACTTAGGAACTGTCTGGCAGAAATCATTTACATTTGGAGATAATGAATATTTGCTTTTTGATCAAGGATTATTAACATTGTAATTTGTGAGCATAATAATCAATGATCTAGGCAGGGAGAATTCACAATAATTAGCTGTCACTGAAAATTAAGCCTGTATGGTAAAGTATAGTGTCAAACACATGACCTGTGAAAGGATTTGACCCTGCCAGTGAAATGATTTGAGAGAAACTAATTATAAATGCATTATGATAAAAATATTCATGTTCATTTTTTATATTGGCTTTTCTATATTCAAAGTATACTGTTTTTTTTTTATCTGCATCAGGGAAAAAAATATTTTAATTTGTCACGCTGCATATTTGCATCTTACAGGGCAGGACCCACATTTAATTGGTCTTTTACAACTCAAGTTATCCAGCATATTTTCTAATTACTAGTTTCATATTAAGCTTATTTAAGCAATATTGAGTTTTTTTGAATATTAACACAGCTGAGAATTGGATTTTTGTAATATCCAGAGCAACAGCCCAATTGTGCAAGTGTGCTACTGATTTAACTCAACAATTGCAAATTTCAGTGTAATGCAAATTGTATGTGTTCACAACAGTAGTTGGCCTAAATACTAGATGACAAGGATGTTGAACTGTTCAAACTTTTGGAATAATTTGTTTTATGGCAACATGTGAAATGTAAAAATGAAAGCATTAACAGTCACCTATTGGACATATTAGTCAGAAATTTGACTACATTGACTACATTTTACAGCTGAAGCCTCCACAATTGTTTTTATGATTGGCCATGATGTTGCAGCATTCAGATCACACAAAATTTTTGCAAACACAAAAATATGTAGTGTGGTGTCAGAAGTATCAGTTTATTTTTACTAACATTGTTTTAGATATTATTAATACCAAAGGTAAAATAGATGAAATCCAGAAAACTGTAGAAGAACTGTGGAAATCAGAATCTTAAGTTTTTAAAAATTTTGTAATATTTTGATTTAAAAAAAGAAACATATGAACATTTAAATTCATTTATGTATGTATTATACACCACTTAAGTGAGGTGTTTTTATTGCAGTGTCTATATATATATATATATATATATATATACACACAACAGTTCTGTCTGGTTCTCGCATCTGATTGGCAAAGAGACACTACAGTTTGACAAATAATACTGCTGTTAGACATCAAAATGTACTTTTTGGGGCTATTTTAGTCAAGAATGTAGTTGTTTAGATTGCAACTATGCAGTTTATGTGTAAGAATAGTGCCTATTTTAAAATATTTACAATTTCTGAGAGAGCTTGTTGGCGGCCATTAACCTGCCATAATGTAGTAGACCAAAGACAGTTGGTATTTTCTATCCACAAGATGGCAACAAAACCGCATAATAAGCCCTTATTCTTAGAAGATTATCACAGTTTGATTTCTAACTATAGCATATCATATCATTATTAAACTGGTAAGCATACCTTCCAACATTACCGTTTTTCCTGGGAGTATCCCTTATTTCAGATCATTCTTCCGCAATCATCCCACTTTTTATTTCTTCTGGAAAACTCACATAATTTCACCCAACACCCCCAGGATGCCAAATTTGGTACAGTACCCGGTCACAGCGGCCACCCAAAACCCGCTGCATCCAATCCCCATTCTCAACAGTGTTATTCACCCCCGAATACCCCCTCTTGGATTTTCAGAGACATATTGGCAGGTTAGATGATCTCTCACTTTTGTATGTTGTGGTGTTGTATTTATACCAATTTGCTCGCATATCAGTCTGTTGTGTTGGCAGAAAGAAAGAAGCAAAGTCCGCACGTATTTAGCGTTTTTTCTTATCGCAAACACAACAGCAGTCTGGTAGTGATTGCGTTGCTTTTTTTGGGGTTATTTATTGCGGTATCCTGATTGCAACAGAGAAATACTGTAGACTGTAAAACTGTAAGAAAAAAATCTCTGTAGATGGATGGCATTTTATGTCACGTTCAGCCATATAATCTTAAAAGTGTGAGCAAAATCAGCTCTTTTGTCATCACTTTAGGGATCAGGCTATAGAGAGTCATTCAAACACTAGCTCTAAAGTGATGTTGGTGAATCAGTAACAGCTTTTGCTGTTTTGACGACAGCTGCAGATGTGAATGAATGGCGAAAGAAAGTAGTTCCTAATAAAATGGGATTTTTAGACTCAATCGTGTTTGGTATTCTTATTTATATACATTATTGTGCCTTCGAACTGTTGTATAAACGCAATATCAAACTCGTAGCAGTGAGATATGGCTGTATATCAGCACCGGTGGGACGCTAAGGCTTGTGGCCTCGTGCCAACACACGCATCCCACCAATGCTGATATACAGTCTTATCTCACTGCTACGAGTATATATATATATATATATATATATATATATATATATATATATATATATATATATATATATATATATATATATATATATATATATATATATATATGCTGTACTATCCCATATACTGTGCTCAAGTTTACCAAACTATGAAGACTTCTACTTCTATTAAACCTAGAAATGTGAAAAGGGTCTATTACCACAAGCGCACCTGGAAAAAAGCAGCTTTATGGTAAAAAAAAATATATATATTATTATATATATATATAATAATAAAAAAAACCTTAAGTAAACGGTGGTTAAACCAAATGTTTATTTGTTTAAGCTAATATAATTTAACAGATAAATAAAAATAAAAAATAATCTTAATCTTATTTTTCAAACATTAGTGCCTAAAATTCATCTAGTACTGTTGCTTTGTAGATATGCATTACTAACCTGGATCTCCAACCTATCATGACAACCTGTCATGACCATCTGACAATTCTGTTCAAGAGCAAATAGAGTGGAAGAGCATAAGTGATATTAAAACTCAGAGTATTCACAAAACCCCTGCTCATTAAAACAGCTTAAACCAGCCTAGGTGTGTTGGCTGGTTTTAGCTGGTTGACCAGCCTGGTTTTAGAGGGGTTTTGGCCATTTCCAGCCTGGTTTCCAGCCATTTCCAGCCTGGTCTTAGCTGGTTGACAGCAAAAACCAGCTTGAATAGCCTAGCCAGGCTGGGCCCTAAAGCAAGCTGATTATGCTCGTTTTAGCTAGTCATATTGCAGCCTGACCAGCTAAGACCAGGCTGAATATGGCCTGAAACTAGCCTGGAAATGGAAAAACCCTCTAAAACCAAGCTGGTCAACCAGCTAAATACAACCAACCAGCTTAGACTGTTTTTTAGATGTGTTTTTTCAGCAGGGACATCAGGTAAAAGTGCTCAAATTATTTACTGCTACTAGCTAGATCTATTCCATGAAGCATAAAAGAGACACAACCAACACCACAATACATTAACTAAGACACTTTCTAAACGGTGCATTAATTAATTATTGAAAAAGAAAATCTTCACATACTTAAAGAATGCAATTTCAGAAGCAGAAAATAGATGGAGAAGAAAGATGCAGGTATGGTGTCAAACCACATTGCACCCTCATAATCAGATGAGTGGCTGACAGGGTAATTGTCACAGAGTCTTTACCCTTGGCCTGTATGGCTGTTGAGCTCCACATAAACCTCCGTCAAGCTTGATAGGAGGTTTAAAAGTTTGAGATTTACCATTTGTCACCAGCAGCAAATGGCAAGGACTCCTGGGAAGCAGACTATACATGCCTGGTCTCATAATTTATACTGTGAGAACCAAAAAAAATGGCGTGAGAGCAACATGATGGACACACACTCGCTCTCTTTGTGGCTCATCATATGCA